AGCTGAAAGGATCTTCTGAGCAGATTATCTAGATGATGTGCTGTCTTCAGTCAAGCATTTCTTGTCCTTATTATTTTGATTTTCATTTTGATAGTTTGTCACGATTCTTTGTGTGCAAAACCACTATAAATTTTAAAGATATGAAAAATAGAAGTTCTGAAATAGAATTCCATTCTCAAGTAAGTTATTAATAAAACCCCTTAACTTATGTTATTGCTGAAGCTTTTTAGAAATTATCAGGCATTTCTGTCATACCAAATTTTGGATTCGGGCCAACAATTCAAGAAAGTCACAGTATGCGTGTTTATGCATTTTGTTATCTGCTTTTTATCAATCTGTATAATATTGTATCAAAATACTTAAAATGAGTAATTGCCAGGCTGTTGCTGCAAAAGCTTATTCCTTATGTTATGAAATCAAGAAGGGCCTTACAAAGGCAAAAGAGAAGCAGTTTGACTCTTGCGTAGTTTGATTTCTCACTCTGTAGGTGGTACGCTGCACAGTATTGGGGTTTTGAGAAATGGCGGTTTATTTCCGTGGCTCCGTAGGGAGGGAAACAAAATATTAGGAGTCAGCCATCTCTGTGTCTGGAAAGACACAAGACAGTCTGTTTGTAGCACACAGGAATGACAAAGCATGTGTGGAAATATATGGGAAGATGATAGAGATTGTAGATCATCACTTCTTGTAGTTGGTGGGACAATGTGAATTGCAGTGAAAATGCCTTAAAAAGGTAATTTAGGAGGTCTGTGGCCCTCTTATGCTGAGTTTTGGTGAGTCTTTAGTATCAAGAGGATTCCAGAAGACTAGAAGTATATGAATCCTGACTGTAGAGCTTTTAACTGGGCAAGGAAGAGATGACTGAAAAACCCTACCTCATATTCAATATGCAGTGGTAAAACTCACCATAAATTTGTTTGATAGAAAATTGAGAGAAGGGAATATAACTGACAGTTGTTGTGGTTTTGTGGAAAACAAGTGATTGGACAATGTCATTCTTTGAGATTATACAATCAGTTGGCTTTACCAACAAAAATTACTTGTTTCTACTCAGGCATTTGACTTTAACATTTGACCTTTTCATTTTAAAAGTAGCCCTGTGTGGTATATCAGTACAGGGGTTCAGTATCAGTTAACAGTTGTTGCAGCAATTGACAGGAAGGCCAAATATAATTCTTTTTCTTATTATTATTTTTTTAAATTTGTTTAATGCTTTGGAAGTCACTGGAGATAAAAGCTATAGATGACATAAAAAGAACTGTAATGGTAAACCACTCCTAAGGAAGTCTGGGTAACATGATAAATTGGGATGTGTTGTTCAAACTAGATTAATTTTCCAGATTAATTTTATGGGGATAGATACACAGGGCTAAGGCATGCTTCAGAAAGAGTTGAGGCCTGGAGTATGTACTCCTAGAAGAGGATGCGAGGGTGAAGTGGGTAAGATACTGTAAGATTCTTGTCTGATGTGGTGTCAAAAGGCAGTTACAGTGGCCTGAAGTGGCTCTGAAGATGGGAGTAGTGAAATCATACTTTGTCTGTGTGCAGCTTTGTTAATGCTAAAAATTTTTTTTAATGCCGAACATGATTCTAATGTCTATATTTGAAGCAACATACTGGAAAAATGAACAATGTGCAGAGAAAATGAAATTTAAAGAATTAAAGTTAGAAGTGTTAAAAAGCAGAATTAAAGATGACATGATAAGTGGCTTTGAAACTCAATGAGGAGAAAGCACTAACTGCTAAAGCAGTCTTCAGTTTGGTGAAAATAGCAGAAAAAAGCATAAAGCTGAATGTCAGACATCCACCTTGGAAATGTGGGAAACTTTTTAACAGTGATTAACCAGTGGAAAAAACTACCAGAGAAGGTGGTAATTTTCCATCTCTTGAAGGCTTTCAAATCAAGAATGGATCCTTTTCTTGAAGTTAGACTTTAGCCAAATGTAAGTTTACCATGAGGGAGTTGAGGAACTGTGAGATTGTACAACTCTTTGTGCCTTTGGCATGAAGCTCGTCTACGCTGCAGGTACTGTTAACATTGAAAGATCTCCAAGGCCCAGCTCATGAGGCATGTGTCCAGAGTGGTATGTGCCTAGGGATGAAAAGTCTTGAAGAGTTCTGATTATTGGTAAGCAGATTCTCCTTCTTGAGCTTGGTACCGGATAACTAGGGAAAATTTCATAGCCTGGGGTATAGGAAGTCAGAATAGATGGTGCTAAACTTTACTGTGGATCTATTAACTTCATTTCCAGTTTCCCTGTACTAATCTGTGCCAAAGACTTAAGTGAAAATTAATCCTGCTACTGGCTGCATTAGCTTCCATCTACGTAGCTGTGATCATAGAGGACAGATGTGCTATGCAACCGTCAGCTGCCCTACTTGGTAGTTTTTTCCACTTTTTAAAGTTACGAGTGTCTGTTGACATAGTCCTTCACCCTGAGTGCCAGACAATGTCAATGTCTGACACTGGCAGATGACTGACAATGTCAGTGTTGCCATCTCCATCTCAGTTTCTTGGTTGTGTAGTCTTTTAAAGACTTCAAATTACTTTAAACCTTAGAGTCTTTTTGTCTTGTTGGCTAGTTTACCTGGCTGGTAAGTATTTGCTAGTAGTTCTGTGGGACTGCAAGTAGAAGAGCAAGTGTGTGTTAGTGGTTTTACATGTAAGACTGTACTGTAAAAGGTAAATAAATAGAAAAGTGTGGAAAAAAAATGTTTTCAAGCAAGTTGGCAAAATTACTTTTAAGAATTGTAAAAGACTTTACTGGTATCTCTTACCTATCGTAGTATTTAATTGAATAATATTTAATCTGATTTTGCTGGGTTATAATACATCCTAATGTTCTTAGCTAATTTGATAGGGACAGCTTGGGCCACCTTGCAAGAAAGTTTCTTCTTTAGAACAAAAATTAAAAAAATAAAAGCATCATGAACATTTACACTTAATGAAATATTTCTCCTTTTAACATAGAATGATTACTTTTAGTTTTTAAGAAGTCACTTCATACAGAATGGAGCAAAAATAAATACATCTGTTCTGCATTTGATTTTAATTTACTTTTTTAGCAGAAATCACACATCAACATTAATCTCTGAAGAGCAATTAAAATAATCAAACATGAAGACAGGCTGCCAGACAACTCAGAGTAATGGAGATGTATAAAATACCCTGTCTTCAAGACCTTACAATTCCTTCTGTTATTTCTCATTTCAGTAGAACTTGATGCATCGCTTCTAAAGCATGTCACGTTCTTCATTTAGGCAAGAGTGTTCTGTCTTGAAATAGTTTGTCACAACTTTTCCTTAACTGGTTAAAAGTAACGTAGAAATCCATCTTTGTGCTTCAGCTTCTGTAAATCTAAGATAACCCTCTGATTCCACTCATACGGTGGTACTGTGGGGAAGCTTCTACAAGCCAAGAAGCTTTTGCAGCTGTCTAGCTCTTCCCGCTATCATCTTCTGTCGTTTGCCTCATGGCGGGGGGAAAGGTGACTTCAGAAGAGGGTTCATGGAGGGTCATTGGTATAAATGATGCTCTTAAAAGAGAGAAAATGCTTTTGGTGCTCATCTGAAACGTCCAGCAATCTTGCTGAACACGTCAATTGTGTACTTTGTGTATGAACCATTGCTAAGGTTCTTAAAGTGGGCAGACCACAGAATGGATGTTCAAATGACAAAACAGATGCTATCAAAATTAATGTTATCAACAGGGTTTTATAAATTGCTTCATAGCTTCTGAGAATGCCTGTCCTTCTGTTTGTGTGGCTAATAGGTTTTTTTTTTTTTAAATGTATTACTGTACAGTGAAAAAGAGAAAGTGTTTTCATGTGTTAATGAAATATTGGAAAACTAATATCTGAAGTGATTGTAATAAACATCCGGAAGGCTGTTATGTTTAAGTACTTCTTCCATTAACTTCCATTAGATTTTTTTGACTTTAACCACAGCTAAAAATCACAGCGCTTAAGATGCAGGCATCAATTCCAAGCTCTAGTTTTCCACTTGGAACAGAGTAACCAGAATTTTACATGATTAAATTCAGCATCTCTTACTAGTTGTGTTTACTCCTCACTGTTAATATCTTCTTGTAAGATGAAATTGTTATTATTACTATTTGTTGTTTTGATGACTGAAAAGATTCATTGGTGAGCAGGTAACAGTTTATAAGTGAATTACAGTAACATCTTTCATATATTTTGTGTCTTTCATTCTATGTAATAGAAAAAGATTTTGGAATAGGATCTATATTTTACGCTTAAGCTAATGTTTTTTTTTCCGCTGAGAACATCCTTTGAACCAATTTCATTGTTGTTTAGAAATGGTTTTAAGCAAAATTCATTTTGACAGTGAAAAATTTCTTTCAGAAAACTATTAAGAGTTGGCAGCCTTGAAGAATTGGTTCCATGATCAGAATAGTAATGCTAAATTTTCAATTGTAGTTGTTTCTTGTAGAGTAAATTAAAAAAAGATACTGACTGTTTTAGACTTGGTTGTCACTGTGAAACCCCTTTAGAAATCTAGGTCATTGTTCTTTGTGTTAGTACTTAGATTCTTGAATTTGAATTTATCTATGTGCTGTTTTCCATTTCTTACTTTTCACCAGCCCCTGAAATCTTCACCCGTATTTGTGTAAGTTATTTCTTTAATCGTATCACAATTAAAAGTATATGCGCTAGTTTCTCTGAATTAAAAAGAAGAAAGAAGAATTTGTTATCATTCATACATGTTTGGGTAATAAGGAGAGGGAAACAGAAAATATATTTTCAGAAGAAGGAACTGTTGGTTCTAATGTGTTGGTGCTGATTGTCTTTAAATGATAGCTGTGATGTTGTTCCTTAAGTCTCAATAAGCAAAATAATTTGGTAAAACACTCATACTGCATTTAACTTGCTTCTTGTGTAACTGGAATGTTTCCATAGAACTACAGAACTGTGAATCCATGTAGTAGTCTGAATTTATAATAAAACATTTTAATTATTGTTCTTTTCCTTTCTTCCTAGAATATTTTCTTTCTTGGACATAGTTACTTTATGTCGATGTGCACAAGTTTCCAAGGTATGTATTTCTGTTGAAGTTTTTTGTTGTTCTTTGGGAAGCTGTTCTCTTAATTACATGCAAATCATGGGCTTTAGTTCTCTCAGCACCTTTGTTTATTAAAACAAATAGTGGGTTCAGTTTTGCATTCAGACGTGGAATTAGTTGCTATGTACTGGACTTCTGTTTAAAGGCTGTGGAAAAGATATCCAGTAGTGTATGCTCTATATCTGGAGAAAGGATTAAGCCCAGTTTGGCATAATGGCATTTGCTTTTTATAAAGCATGTGGCTGTATAACACGATTTTTCAGACGTGTTTTCTGTTTAAAATTCCATGTAGTTTGGTTAATGTGCACCATGTGTCTAAGAAGTACATCCATCATTGCTTGCCAAGTATGAAAGGTGTTAGTTAAGTAGATGGACTACTAGTAGGGGAAAAGACACACGGAAGATAATAGAGAAAGCATGCTAAGTAAGCTTTTATGTTTAGCTTGTCTTCATTTTTTTCTTGAATTAAAATGAGAAACCTACATCAAGTGTGTACAATGAAGCGTATTCTTATACAAAATCAGTAAACTTTTTTATTTCGTGCTTTTCTTCCTTCTTTTTATGAGGACTGAGATTATTTTTTTGGGTTGGATTTTTTTTGTTTATTTGATTTAATGTAGAATTAAGTGTGTAACAATTTTATTCCTACGCCCTTATCACCCTGACCTGCAACTTGAGTAAGTTTTGTGAGCTAATACCAGGTTTTGTCAGAACCTTCAGCTAAAGCCTAGAATACAGTGGAAGAAAACCAAGGTGATTGAATAAGTTGTGTTTTTCTCTCAGAACTACCTATCAGTTGGATGCTGTATTCTTTTTTCTGTTTGGTTTTTTTTTTTTTTCTGAGTACATTTGTGTTTCTCTGGCTTTTTTATTTTGTCCTACTTTGAACAATTATTGCTTCAACAGTTAAGGACAAATTCTCAAACACGTACATGTAACTTAGCATGTGTGTAAAGGAAAGGCCTGATCCTAACAGTGGAAAGTCAGCAGTTTTCTGAAAGGTTTCTGTTTCTCTCAGAATAGTAACTAGTGAGGTTGAGGAACTGTGGTTTTATTGGATGGAATCTCATCTGCAGCTACTTTTCTCCATATAGATCTAGCAAAAGTAACTTACTAGTCAAATTTCCATAGCTTTTTTGGAACTGGAGAGTTAAATCTTGCAGTGTCCATGTATATATTTAATTTCTTTCTTTGCTGCATATTTCATGGGCATAAGTAAGCCTTTGAAGTGTAATCCTCTTAGGAGATTTGAGATTCACTTCCACACATTCTGTGTTTTTAACTAGTTGATATTGTATAACTACTAATATTTACAATTAAATTTCTTTTTAAAAAATGCTACCTGAAGTCGTATATTGTGCTATGTTTGAGTTTGTTATATTTTAATTGCTGAGAAGCAAATGAAAGGAGCAGACACTGGACATAATAAATAAACTATATTTGTTTTCTGTAGGCATGGAATGTTTTAGCTCTGGATGGAAGCAATTGGCAAAGAATAGATCTCTTTAACTTTCAAACGGATATAGAGGTTAGTGTCTTTGGGTCTTTTTCATTCCTATGGTGATGTTTAAGAGTGTAGCCCGTTTTGAGTATCCCGTAGACTGTGCTTGTGTTCACATGTTTTAAAGGCTAAAGTTCAAGTACTGTGAAGGAGCAAATGGAAAAAGAACTCTGTATTTGACTTTTTTTACACTGGATGAGCATTTCAATTTTGGGTGCCAGCTATGTATCAGATAATTTGCGTATGTCATATACATACAGGGCTCTAGAAATTCAAAGCTGCTCATGTCCAGAAAATGAAGGTATAAACGGTGCCTCTGGAGAGAGTGAGATCCTCCGAATCACTTTCACCATCTAGAGGATAGTTTTATTGCTGGTCCCGAGTCTCTCTGAGAGTGCCATCTAGTGCTGAGAGTTCTCTGGACGCTTGGCTATAGGACTTGGAGGCTGGAACCATAAAATGCTGAACAACTTTTCTTACTGCTGGCTTGCCTAGATTTGATTTGGTGTGTATCTGATTACCATTTTATGAACATTTGTTTTATAAGGTTTGAACCTTGCCCGAAATGCAGGTACATGTGGATTAAGGTCCTTTTCAGCTTATAATGAAAGAATTAGGGCAGTCTTGTCTTCTATAATAAAAACACATCTGCATTAATGCTATCATAGATGTGCATAAGAAAATAAAATGTGACATCTGAAAATGAAGACAAAAATCCAGGGGGAAATACAGTTCTTTAATTGAATCTGAACTGGTTTATTATTTGTTGTTTGACGATAGTATACAATAATAAACTTGCTTCTGGATTTTATGTTTTAGCTTCTTAGTTGCATGAATAAAATCCAGATGGATTTCATTTGGTATATTTTGCTAACTGTGGTACAAACTGTTCCTAAAGCTTTACAGTAATATATAGGGTAAATTTTTTCCCCCACTCATAAAATTATATTGCCAGCTCCTCTGCTGTACTGATATTAAACATGAGGATCTTAATCTCATGAGCTTTAATGTCATCTTTTCAGTTGCCTTTAAAAAGGCTTAAGTTTCTAATTTGCTAAGAAATAATAAAGAAAACCCCACAGGTCTGTGGTCCTTCTGTTGGTTAGCATTTTCTGTGTCTGAAACCTTTCCACTATTTAGAAACACAGTATTGGATTTTAATGTTTTTGATATGTTTGTCTTACATTGTACCTAGTGGTGTTGCTCTTTGAGACACTATGTTTGTAGCATGGGATTCAGCAGAAGGGACGAAAATTAAATTATGATCCTCTTTTGCTATAAGAAGCTATTGTGGTTTGGAGCAATTCAGTTACTTCAGTATATTATATTTAAGTACATTTGTAATATAAACCCCTTAAATTTATTCATAAGAGTATGTTAAACCAGCAATTATTACATAAAGTAGTTTTGAAAGAGATATACTTTCACATTTGGAGTCTTAAGAACTCTGTTTTTTCTTCAGCTGTTTAAGTAACGTATTTTGTTGCCTGTATACTTAGGACAGGTAAAAGCTGCTAATTGTTTTTGACAGCTTTTTGCTCAGTCAGATGTTGTACTGTTCAGTGATGTTTCACATAGCATCAAGCAGTACTTGATCTGAGACTATCAAATAATAAAAAATCAGATTTTGTTAAATTTTCCATATTTAAGTCCTCATGTGGTAGAGAATAAAGTGAGGAAGAAAAAAAAAAAAGATATTTCTTTTCTATCACAAAGATGTGTGAAGATCTTAAAGTTAAAAGTGCCTTAGGATTTCTTGATATGTGGAACCAAATGTCAGCTGAGATAATTTGAAGAACTAATTTTTTTGAGTGACATTGAATTATTCAAACAGCTAAACACATTTGAATGCATTTGTCTTTTTGAATATGCTATTTGTTTTTTTACATTCTGAAATAAATGGCTTTAGGAAAACTTATCCCATTATTTGTTTTCGTTTTCTTTGAATAATGTATTAGGGTTTGGCTTTTTCTGTGACGTAGATTGAACTTGCAGTATGTGTTATACATTGAAGATGTTATCCTTACAGTAAAGGTGTTTGGCCTCTGCTGAGAAATAATTCTGACTAATCAGAAAGCTTTAAAAAATACATCATTTTGTTTGTATAATGATTTTGAGTTTGTTTGTTTGTTTTGGTGTAAATTCTTCTGAGAGATAAGATAAACAAAGTTACTTGTGGACTAAGAAACAAGCTCTGGTAAGAAAATATTTTCACATAGTGCTAGCCAGGACTTTGGTATTAGAGGTCAGAACCAAAATGTAAGAAATATGTTACCATTTCAGTAAAATTGTTACCATCCCGTATAGAGAAGAAAACAGGAAAAAAAAGATCCACTGACCTGTAATTTTTTAAGTATTCTTTTTAGAAAAAACAGAGAGCAGAAAATAAAAGGTGCTGCTGGATACTAGTCCTGTTTGGTAAATGGTCAATGTTGATTTCTTTTACCTTACCTCCCTAAAATTAGATACAATATGCTGTCTAGTCACTTTTTGCAGTGGCCACCTTTTTCTAGTTATCTTGCTTTTCTTTAAAGAAAAATAATATATTTTTATTGTAGTTTAAGTAACATTTTTCCATAATGCTACTTTCAAATTGAATGTTAGAAGTATTGTACCGTTCTACTTACTCTTACTGTATAGCAAAATGTGCTTTCAGGATGTAAATAAAAAGCATTTTATATCAAATGTGGGGTCAAGTAGAAAGTTTTGTTTCTAAGCTGTGCTTCAAATTTTGACAAATAATGAGGCATAAAGTCTGTAAGCTTCACAGTATGAGAAGTTCTTTGGCATTCCCAAGTGTTAGGCACAGACACTCAAATATGTATATGACATTGAAGACTGGCAAGTGAGCTCCGGAAAATCTTCTGGAGACAACTGAAGTGACTGCTCCCACCAAGGTGGTCAGCACCTTTCAGTTGCAGAGCTAACCAGCCCTCTAGCAGGGACTGTAAAACGGGACTTGCTGGAGGCTGTATTTCAGTGTTGTACTTGCCTAAGCATGTCTTCATAGACAATTCAAACTTACGTGCTGTAGTAGCAACTGGGATCCTTG